TTTGAAGACTACTTCCGAGATGTCGCCTTGGTGCACATGCCTCCGAACCAGCAGTCCTTCAGCATGTCTAGTACAGGTAAGATTGCCTAATGACCACTGAGAAATGACTGCTGCTCTATTTCAGTTTTTTATGTTTTGTACTTGTTTGTCTGTATTCTCCGTTAATGGACATGAAATGTCATAAAAAAAAAAGGTCCTACCCCTAGGCACACTTACGTATCAAGTGAAAAATCGTAAAGGTGGGCTATTTGGCTATACATCTTGGTAGAAGAATTAAGATCATCTGGTGGGCTAGTTGGCGACACATCTTGGTCAAGTGAAGCACAGACTCATTCAGTCCTATGTACAAAGCGAAAAAAAAAGAAAACTGATAGCAGCCTCTCATATGTCTTCTTTTATCCTGCAGGACAGAAGCTTTTCGTGTCAAATGTAGGGCACTTCCCGAGAGTAAGAAAATGGGTATCTCTGGGGGTGGTACTTATCTCTTTGTTTACTTGTTTGAGTACTGTATCTGTGTGTTGTCCTTTCCTTTCTTCCTTCTCCCCCGGAATTCCTTGGAAAGCCTCTTCGCGCGGCCTGTAAAAACTGCTTGACCGTGATGTCGGTCCCTGCTTGAACTTGGCAAGTGCCCCATCAGCCAAGACCCTCGAGTTTAGTGGCCTTTATTGCTGGCCAACGACATGAAGAGGCGAGCGCACTAGATAAGCAAAGCCATTTTTTCGCCCATTTTCAGCTTTTGTTGCCCGGTAATTCTTTTAATTAGTTCCAGAAACTGCCATGTATGTCAGCCGTGTCCAGGTAATTAGGAGAAATGCCAGATATGTGAAGCACGTCTGCGTACCTGATGACTTAGGCCACTTATAGTTGCATTGCTCGTAGTCACAATTTGGTTTAGTAGCATTTCCTCAGTCACCGGGGTAGGGTTGATGGGTGAAAACAAATAATTGGATATTGTCACACTCTGGTCCTATGTCCTATTTTGGGCATGGTGACTATAATTGGATTTCACTGTATTAGTAGCTTGTTTTATCTGGTTCAGTGGCTACACGGGGTAAGCCTCGCTCCATATTTAATGTTTTCTTTCCGTGTGCTTGCATGTGTTTGTTATAGCAGGGTTAGGCTATGTTCCAGGGGACAGGGAACTCTGGGAGGTGGTTTGATAAATGAGTATTCATCACAAAGAGGAGAACTGTCTTCCAGTATTTTATGTGACAATCGGGGTCCCCACCACGGCGAGTCGCAGTGGTTTTGCCGTCCCGCTGACTGCCCATCCCTACGATGTCCCACCCACCTCCATATCTTGCTGCGGCTGGATTAGACGACCCTGATTTTGCAAGCCTACAATGTGCTGGATAATCTTGCTTGGCAGAATCGCACAACACCACGCATAGGAACAAATCCCTGCGATTTAAAGGAATACTGAACCGAAATTTGTATTTCGCAAAGTAAGGCTGCAGAAGTGTTGAGCCGGATGCTACGAACTCCAAAACATCACTCGTACATTAATATCTCAAACGGATGGCCGTACTTTTGGAAAAGAAGGGCACGATCAAGCGAGTTCTTCGACGTAACTGTCCTCCGGGAGAATTCGAGAATGAGGAGAAGCGGCCTCGCTTCTCTCCTCCTCGCTTTGGTTCACCAGCTTGACGGGACGTAGCAAGGAGGAGAGAGAATGGGGAATCGTGACGTGCCTTGTCTTATCGGCCGGGTTCAATCGCGCATTTCTTTTCCAAAAAATACGGCGATCCGTTAAATATATCGCCGTACGAGTGATATTTTTTGGTTTTGCAGCTTCCCGCGTATCCGCCCGGCCTCGTTTGGTGAGCTCGAAATTTCGGTTCAGTATCCCTTTAAGGGAATGAATGGTTAACTAAAATGGAGTGCAGTGCACTTGGCCTGAGCTTCGTTCATGGGTCCTTTGCGAGACTAGCGAAGTGCGCTACTGGCTGTGCTAACCATGTGGTAGGCATGAGTAGGGAAAGCAGTTTAGGAAATCAGTGAACTTATTTTGTGCCTCTTTTAAAAAGAAAGCTGCAGGATGTGCTGATATAGTCGGCTTCACACAATATTGTTAGCAAAGATCACATGGGTCATGTGCTATCTGATACCACGGGAGCAGCATACTCAAGAAAGAGAAAATTTCTGGATAACAGCCTGTTTTCTGAAGAATTTGGCTTCTCTTAGGCAAAGTTTCTTAGCAAATCGTGAGTTGGCACTCAGGGTATTTCTGGGATTCCTTCTTAAGTACTTTCTTTCAACCCACTATGTTACCCTTCCCTGTCTTCAGCACATTTTTCCTTGTGGGTCCCAAGTTGACAACCACTGTATTTTTTTTAGGTATGTGCAAGAAAAATGTACCATTATTTTTTAAGTGGAAATAAACCGTGCACTGCGAAAACGTCAGAACAAGGTGTTGCGCTAAGGGGTGTAATGTTAGGGAGAGTAGTGGCATCTCTTTGCCCGAACATTGCCTAGAACTTGTTATGCCATTCTTCGTGCAGTTTCATTCTTCTGAGATGCGCAGCTCACGAGAAGCCTTTATTGGGGGTCATCAACCTTTGACATGAGGGAGTTCCAACCACAATTGATTTGCTTCAGTGGAAGGTGGAGAGCCTGAGCGTGTGCTTCGTTGTCCTTGCAGACAGTGGTCCCGACCTGGACGAGTATGTGTTCCTCAAGGTCAAGCGCGAAGTCCTCGGCGTATTGGTAGACGAAGGCACCTCGGACCACAGGCAAGCCCCAACCAATGCACAGGGCATCAATGGGCCGACTATTAGAGCTTTGATCACTGTCGGCCTGTGTATGACAAAGGGGTCTCTTGGTCGTTGTGCATCTCTACTTCGTTTCACCTTACGTCCGAGCGCAGCAGATATTACGAGCCATCAGAGGCAATCCAAGGCCGTGAGAGTGTCACGTGACCTTGAAGGGTGGGCACAGCGACGCGCAGAAAGTGTATCACGGGCTACGTCCACAGAACGGGATTGGCTAGGATAATTTGTAGTGTCCACTCATCCAGACGTAAGGTGAAACGGAGTATAGTGCAAGTCTGCTGCCTTTTGTAGTGTTTTGACTACAGCAGGTGTGTGAGATGCCAGGACATTGCTGGAGGCAGGAAGTTTGCTCTGGGGACAAGGATAAGGCAACTGAATGTTAGTCTACAACAGTCAGTGACTCTGGACGATTGCAAGTATGGCCTTAGGCGCCTCCACTATACCGCTGGTCAGGATATGTCACTTGGTCTCAGAGTCCTGCTAAGCTGGGCAAGTGGGTGTAGAACATCATGGTTGAAGGGCATGCCTTCTTTCTGGAGCGCAGTATGAGGCTATGCTTGCAAACTTGTATATAGGGCTAGAAGTTTTATGCATTGAATACACAAAATGTACCTGCATAAGGAACATTAAACCCTCGCTGACCTCGGCAGTAATTGTGGCTGTCCTATGCATTTCAGGCCTCATATTGAAACATATTTATTTTGACAGGAACTGTTTTGCAGTCACCTGTTCAACTTGAAGAAGTGCTCTACAGAGCAGGAGCAATAAGTGCTAAACATAGGGTAGATGATCAATTTCAGCCACTAGTAAAGATGCACCCAGCGTGAGTTTTCTTAAACTTTGGACAGAAACAGTTTAACATTTCACCTATGGGAACATTGGTACATATTGTGGTCACAGGATTAATTACATTTAGCTCATTTTCATATGTGGCTGGTGTCTGATAGAGAGGCATCTCCTAAATATTTTGAATTACATTCAATCTCAGCTTTCCTTTCTCCTTGTGATTTTGAGAAATACACTTACCTAGCCCCCTTCGATCTTGTTTTCTGTTTTGTTCACTTTAGAATGGAGACAACCATTTCTGGAGCCATTTCCGTAACCCTCTGCACTTTGCAGGGACGGTGAAATTGTGGACTTGGACCAGGGGTCTCAGCACATCATGAGGTATCGAGTGGTAGCCGATTTGGTCAAGGATGGATCCGTCGTCTTGTTCTAGTGTCTACGTGGAATGGCCAGGGCCCAATAAAGAAAAGGTGCTTTTTCACATCTGTGCTAAAGAGGATTCTTGGATCCAGCCTTGGGCTGGGAAACATGCTTGCCAGCATAGTTTGTTAGAGAGGTGCTGCTCTATGCACCTTGGTTGACCACCTTTAGAATGCTCAACAGTTTCTTGGGGCCAACTTTTGCTTGGGAGTAGGCATGTCGCTCAGCTTGAAACGGTGCACATGCTAGAACATCTGTTAATAGTCAGGAGTTTGAAATTAACGAAACATACATTCTATCGCATGCTTGCAACGAAATGCACGGTCTCATCAGTGTGCCGACGGCTTTCACATACATCCGTGCCTGGTTACTTTTTTTTGTCTTATAGCGGTGGGCGGGGTTAATTTTTAGGTTAATTTTGCTTCATGTGTACAACTTTTTTGCATCAATAAAAACAAAAATGCAGAAACATTCATGCACAAGTATATCATTTTGCTTGGGTTCATGTTTGAATAACTCTGCAGGTCTATGCATTTTTTTTTCTTGGACCTCTTTCAGTGAAATGCCATGTCAGTCGCCTTGCATTGACTACTAGTGAAAGTTGTTCCCTAGTAACGGTGTGCGAATCTTGGATATTGACATAAGGCAGTATCTTTTTGATGTGCTGCATTGGAGGGTGTGCGATTACAAGATATGTAGGCCAATTGGCTTGACACTTTTGGCAGGCATGCAGCCTCCAATGACCTGCTGGCTAGGGAGCCCAAGTTGAGGTAAGAGCCACTCGAAGCACTTGGCTTACGTCTCTCGGGAAAAAAGTGCATGCAAAGAACTGTTTTCTCAGCTTGCGTCCGCATTAACTAGGTCAATTTCAAGATTTGAATGCAGAATTGTATTCTTATCGAAGCTAACTCGGCTATTGTATCGTCTGAATTGCGTGCCTACGTCGGAGGGCAACAGCGTCGGCTTGACCAGCAAATTAACCGACATCATCTACGCTCATAGGCACCGGCTACGGGGGTGCTCGGGTGCACGATCCCCCGTAGTTAGAGCCCCCTGCCCCACCCGGGAAACTGAAATCATTCTGCCTATGTCTACGCTACATACTTTATTAATCGCAAGCAATGCGTCGGAAGACATACGTTTGTAGATCCGAACACTCGCGCGTTGGTTCGTCAGGTGTGTGAGCAGTGAAGGCTTGAAACTCGTCCCATTAAGCACCTACCGACCTTTTTTGAAGCGGCGCGGCAGGCTGTTTGCTTCGACAAGCTCCGCGATAACTTGAAGTTCTCCTTGCTCAAATCTCGCGCACGCGGAAATGATGTTCAGGTGCAACGACTGCTAACTAAGGGCCTTTACTATCTCTAGACAAAGGCTATGAGGTGAAAGATAAGGCCGGCGGAGAAGGCGAGTTTAAAAATACCGCAATCGGTGTACGTACGGAACGGACGCCGACCGGGCGCTCAGGCACGTGGCACACCGACTCCGTCAAAACATGCGAACCCTGAAGGCGAGGGGAAGAGAAAAAAAAAAAAGTGAAACGACGGAGTTGTGCATTCGGTCGTGAAGGCGGCGCCACTCTTGCGGTTTGCAGCAGTTTGGCGCATCCGTGCTCGCTTTCCTGAAGGTCGCGGCCTTGGTCCCTGCTTCATGTCAATTATTCTCTGACGATTCGTGTTTGCGGTACGCAGCAAATAAGGACTCGATACGAGCCGGGCGTCCGAGCCGCCGTTCGTCCCGCAGCAGGGTTAATCTTAGCACAGTCGTCGGGGCGGAGCGTGCAGATAGCGCGAACTGCGTAGTACGGAGGCTCGATAAGCGTGTCGCCCAGTCGGCGTGTGACGTCGCGCAGTGCGCAGCTGTCGGCGGCACAAGGCACAGGCCCAACGCCGGGTCAGCCGGGTGGCGTGCCCGCGTGCCCTCGGACGTAGTAGTAGCGTTTGGACGCGTGAACGGTGAATGTGTGAAGCGGCTCGCACGGAATGCGAGGTTGGCCCTGTTTGGCCCATTCTATCGGAGCAGATCACTCGCGCTGCCGCGTCGCAGGATTCGCCGGGGCGGCGCGGCACCGGCCCTATCAGTACTGCGATTGGCGGACCGGCGCGCAGCACGTGAACAGTACCTGACGCATGGAGGCGCCCCGTACAGCTAGGGAGACCGGCCGGCCGGCGTTCGCGCCGACCAGTTCGTCGATGTCGCGTGCCGGGTGTGCATACCATCTCTCAAGTCGTTGGGCCTTGCCGCGTTCCTTTAATGGGATCCCTGCTTCGGCTCGCCGGCACCGCTAGATTCATGAATTGGCCCGTTGATTGACTGACTGGTAAGTCGCCACGGCCGGTTGCTGCGGAGCGGCGCCGTGGAGCCGATGTCGTGGAAAGTGTCGCCCCGTCTCCGCATCCTCTCGGACGGCTGTCTCGACCGCTCTCCGGGAGGATCGGGAGCTTGGGGACGAAATAGTCTTCGGCTTTTGCGTCATGCGGGTTCAACTAGCGCGCCTTGCATGGCGCCGCTTTGGCGGAACCTATTTTTACCGGCCTTTTCTGGCCGGTTATGTCTCGTTGTGGGTCGTTGTTTTCCTTGACGATTGATGGTGATTTATAGTCGACTTCCTTGTCGGCGTCGTGCCGGGAGCGGAGTCGCCTATTCGCACCACTGTTCGAGGACTCAGTCTCGTCAAAGAATGCCATATACGTGATGCGCAGTGCGGTATACGCGTGATATTTATAGGGGGAACTGCACTGCTGTGTCTTCGATGACCTTGGCGATTTCTCGAGGAACGAAAAAGTGAGTTTGACTGATGTGTGTTTGCTTTCCGAACGTTTAGCTAGCACATTCCGGGATTGCGTAGATTTAGCGGATGGGAAGATGTACTCGACGGTGGCACTAGCGCGGCATAATTTGTTTTCGCCCTCGACTTGTGCAGTGTCGTAATCCAGCGGCATGGAGCCATCGGAACTAGCAATCGAATGGGTTTCGAGAGGCGGGTTGACTGGCATTAGCAACGCTTCCGCCATCGTTCTTCGGCATCTGGGGAGCGCAAGTTGGGGGGAGAGGGTCGTGGCGATGCCCCTTTTTCCTTTCAACAAATTTCAACGGGGCAGCTTTTTTTTTTTTTTTTTTTTTTTTTTGGGGGGGGGGGGGGTGGGCATGGGGCATTTTCTATTCTTGCAGCCGGGAGAACCATTTCCCATGGCTTGCACTGACGTCACATCGCGTACTTTTGGCCGGCATGAAAGGGAGGGAAGCGGCTTTTGTAGGAATTTTGAGTGACTGGTTAATCTATCTTCTGGGGGGAAGAATGGAGACATCTGGGAAATTCTGCGAGACACAAACGAGGGTCTTGGTAAGAAGGGAGCTCCTTCCCCTCTTCTCTGGTGGCCATCGGAGCGCTCTTGGGATAACTTCACGTGCAAGCGATGAGTTCATCGAACCATGTTTCATTGGCAGCTCAGATTATTATTATTATTTTTTTTTTGTAACGAACTGTTTTGGATTTACCGCAAGGTTTTTTTTAATGAGCCGCCGCACGCGCGAGGAAATGACATAATGCATGCGCGTATCGAGTGTCGAAACGTTAAGGCGCATTCACACCGGCGATGTAAGCAGTCGCGCGATGCGACTAAATCGCGTCGGAAAAAAATTAGGTGGTCACACTGGCATGCGCGATGAGCGAGTCCAACGCCTTCGCAGACGAGTCGTTTCTCGAAAACTCTCGGATCTGAATGCCGTTGATTGGCTCAGCCGCTCCGCGACTAGATCGCATCGCAAAAAGTCGGGTCAGCAAGCGACTGCTCAAATCGCGTCGCTTATTTTGCCCGCGATGGTCGTATCCACGAAGTTGTCCGTGAAGCGTTTCCACGAAATGCCGGGAGAATAAAGCGAGCATTTTCCACATGATTTCAAACAGCCAATGCGAGGTGACGTTTCGGGGAAGTTATTCTCCCGGCTTCCGAAAGAATAAACACTGCCTTTTTTTCTTTTTTTTCCCCCTGATTTCGACTTGTTGACGGATAGTTCATCGCTGCGATACGAGGCCCCCGAAATCGATAAGAAGGTAGATGAGTTTTCGCCAACCGTGGCGTCATGACGGATTGGTTGTAAGCCCAGTGAGACCCGTTTTCTGTCCCTCGTGCGGCCGTCTTCTGAGTGCAGTGTTGCGTGCTTGGCCCGCCTTGGGACCCTCAGCGTGTAGTCTCGTCGTGGCAGCCACTTACCGAGCCCCGGTTTCCCTGGTGCGTAGGACGGGCGAGCGGAACCATGCCCATGGACCTGGAGATGGTGCTGTCTGCGAATCAGCCCCTCTTTGTGGGCAACGGCAACAACTTGTCCGAGTGCCGCCTCAACCCGTGCGTGCTGCAGCAGGCCCCTCCGCTCTTCCAGACGTGCTCCCTTCGGAGGGGCTACCGGCGAGCGTCGACCAACGTGCCCCCCATCAAGCCCTGCATGTCTCCCAAGGACGAGCAGGTCCAGAGCGAGCCCACGAGTCCGACGTCTCCGAACCGGGCCAAGCGGCGCGTCTCGTTCGCCGATGACAAGGGCTACTCGCTTACCCAGGTGCGGGTGATGCACGAGCCGTCCGACTGTCCGCCCCGGTGGACGGACGAGTTCCTTGCCCAGATTACCAAGGACATGCGGCTGGAGGCGGACGCGCCGCTCTGGGAGCCCTCGTTTACGCAGCCGGCGTCGGACTACCTCGAGTTCCGCCAGAAGCTGGAGACCAACTTCATCTCTCTGGAGAACGTGATCGTCAAGAACCCAAACCTCATAACGGGCACCATCAAGGTGAAGAATGTGACGTTCGAGAAGCACGTATTCGTCCGGTTGACCTTCGACTCGTGGCGGACCATGCAGGACTGTGAGGCCAGCTTTGTGCCCAACGGCCACCTGAGCAACATGTTCGACACGTTCGCCTTTTCTGTGCCCATTCCCGTGACGGCGGACTCTGCGGGCGTCGTGGAGTTCTGCGTGTGTTACAGGCACGACGGGGAGGAACACTGGGACAGCAACGGTGGCAAGAACTACCGGATAGTGTCGACGGCCAAGAAGAATCCGTGTGCCGTGCGCCGGGTTACCGAAGCCATCAAGGCGGATGTGCACTCGTGGACAGAATTTGCCAGTTGGAAGAACTTGGTGACGGAGGGCCCCTATTGGTGACTAGTTGCCGCAGGCGCGTCGCTGGTGGGGGCTGTCCTCGCCTTGAACTTGTCCCCTCAGGGTCACTGAGATCGTGGGTTCCTTCGCCTCCCAGTGCCCTTTCTTAAAGAACACTTATTGAGTAGGAAATACTATTTGCGCTGGCGAGACTGCATCTGTGGATTGTGCAATTGGTTGGTTCAAGAGTGCCATAACTAGGTAGTTTGCATTTTGGTAGCGCGCTTTAGCCGGAGGACGTGTCGATCGATGAGTCGGCTCATGAAATGTGATTCTAGTCTCAGGTTTCATTTGTTTCGTGGCTCTCGCTTGGCATAGTGCTCTGGATTTTCAGCCTCTGTCTAGTCTCCCCGGAGAACGCTAGAGCGGCTGGCACTGGGGGCGTATTTTTCTATGAGCTCCGCGAACTCCTTGTGGTTGAGTGAGCCTGTGTGCCAAGAGACACTATTTCTGGGGACGTTTGCAATAGTCGTTTGGGGCGGTTTACAAGTTAACGTTGGGAGAGGGTTGCTTTTAAGCCATGCAGAATTTGTACATACATACACATATTTTTGGGCACTCTATTTACACCAGGCGTAGACGTTTTAGAAATGCCTCGCAACTTAGCTTATACATGCATGATACACATGCATGTTCTTGCGCAGCAGCGAACGTGGTCTTGCCGTGCGCGCGTAGCGGTGGTGCGGACTTCCGAAATGCTCAGGGCCATTCAGGCCTCAACGAGCGCTTTTGCACATTTTTTCCTTTTTTTTACGTGTTTGCAACTTCGGCCACGCGAAGTGAACGCATTCAATGCGATGGGTGCCAGCTGTATCTCAATATCTTGGACGATAATGCGTGCATCTTCAGGCTAGTTATCTTAGTATCGGTATCCTGATGCATAAGTACAATGTCATGTCCCGTTTTTCAGCAGCCGTTATTTGCTGACGCTCCTGGTACTAACTGTATATACGAACGAATTGTGCTGGTCTTTAGCGTGTGTTCGTTTATTTTTCTTTTGTGCGTTCTATTAATAGTCCTCGCATTTTAATCCTACGACGTTTTAGTGCGATTGCAGTGACTTGTTGAACAATAAACTTGCTACATGGTGACGATACATACGAAAAATCTCGGCTGTTTGAGGGAAGATTGAGCGCGCAGGCAAGCTTGCGAACGCCTGTGATGGGGGAAGAAAAGGAAGACTCGGGGGGTAAAGATGAGGGACAACACACTTTCGGAGACAGTGGGTGTCGCCCTTTCGTTACACTTCCTTTTCCTTCCCTGTCTCAAATTCAATCGCCTGCCATTTTTTTTTTTTCTTTTTTTGGGGGGGTTTTTGGTTTCACAAGTTGTTGCGCCGCCTATTATTTTTTTTGTTTATTTTCTTTTTATGGTTTTCGCGGAAGGGCCTGAATGAACGGGCGCTCTGCTTTAATAGCCGCTGACCGCGGCGATAAGGCCGGGCGAGGAGTGCCGCGGGACGTCCCACTGGGTCAGGGCAATACCAGCTAGAAGACCAGGCCTTTCCCCTGCATACGTCATCGCTAGTGGCTCCACGTAGCGCCGCCGAGCTTGCGTCAGCATCTCGCCGGCGCGTCGTGCCGCGTCTCGCAAGGGGTGCGACTGCGCCAGCTCGCTCGTAGCTCGCTCCAAGACGGACGCGTTTACAGTTTTGCGGCGTGTCTCGCCGTGCCTCGGAGTGTTTGCCGCTTGGGGCGGAGGATCCACGAACAATGACGTTATGAGCAGGCCTTTTCTTCTAGCTGGGATTGTTCAGGGCGTCTTTAGTCGGAGCCCCATAGCCGCTTCGGCTGCCGAACCGTTCGTGGGGTCGTTTTCCCGCCGGAGTGCTTGCTGGCTGAGCGCCGGCTCGAACGCTCGTCGGAAGTTGAACGACCTCGGCCCTGCTGCTATGTGTGGCCAAGATAGCGGCTTTCTTCGACGCCAACGTCCGGCCGTGATTTACCGCGTCCAGAAAGGGGACACGTTCGCCAAAGGGCGGCGTTTGAGGTACGGAAGCGACGGAGGGGGTAAAAAAGGGTGATCGGGGGTGTTGCGCGTTGCCGGTTGGCTTTCGGGTAAGCAGGAGCGCTGAGCTCGGGACTCGAGGGGGGGGGGGGGGGGCTTGCGAGGAAGATTGCGCCACTTGCTCGGCGCAGTGCTTAGAAAACGGTGCCAAGCGGAATCTTTCGTTTTTTTTATTGTGCGGTTTTATCGGGTTGATAAATACGGAGAGGTATAGCCGTAAATCGTACCGTGCCAAATAGACGATACGCACGCAGAGTGAGAAACAACAGATGCGAAAAAAATAAAAAAATAAAAAAAAAAAGAAAAGAAAAGAAACGCGGGGGCAGTCAAAGCAGATGGAAATACGGGAAAGAGGAAATTGGTTTTCTCTGGCGCCTATCGTGGCCTATCGCTGCCTCTTCCCCGAGCGAGGCAAGGAGTGCGAGAGCGTAGCGTGGCCAAGAATGTGCGGCGCAGTATCGAAAGCAGCACCGCAACCTAGTTTTAACGCTTCGCCTTTCTTTTTTTTTTTTTTTTTTTTGCTTTATTTTGGGCTGTAACGCGTCTGTCCGACCCTCGAGTCCGAAGCTCGAACTGTAGCGGACGCGGGCTCCTTTCCTCAGAGCTCTGCCTTTCCTGACCGCACCCGTTTTCACCGTCCGTCGTCCCAAGTTCGGGAACCCGCTGAGGCGCAACTGAGGTTCGTTTTTTGTTTGTTTCTTTTTTCACTTTGTTTCTTTTTTCACTTTTTGCGTCTTGTTTCAGCCCGCTAAAAGCGTCTTCGATTGCGCAAGGAATGCCGGCGGCAGCCTTTCACCCTCCGACCGAGGTCGGCACACTCGTTCCCACAGACTAAGATCTGGGATATGCCCGTGCGCGCGTTCGTGACCCTCTCCGGGATTCCGAGTCGGAAAACAAGGCGTCAAATTACTCGGCGCTTCTTTTGTGTGTCTAACTTGGTCCGTCCCGAGCCGGCGTACTATGTGTGTGCGGGGGGAGGGGGGAATGCGAAAGCGCTCGTTGGCCGACGTCTCGTCGAGCGCACCTGTTCTAAGACGTTCAAAGCAGGCGAAGGGGCATGCTCTAGGAGCACGGGCGGTGCCGGCGGATGGCGTAACCGCCCGAATGCGGCGCCGAGTCCGGCCCGGCGGCACGGTAATAATATTCTTCAGTTTTGATAAGAAAAATGACTTAATGCCGGGTAATTAATTTCTCGGCCGGGCCGCTCGATCGGTGTACCATACGTGGTGCGGAGAGCGCGGTCGACTTCCTCGTCAAACAAAAAGTTCAGGGAACGTCCGTCCGTACGCCGGGCTGCACCCACGGGCTTTTCGTTCGGGTTGTTGGACGGCGGCGTCGTTGCAATTTGACCGGACCAGAGTTGTTGGCACGATTACGACGAGCGGCGCCGCTCGTTCGACCGCGTCCCACGCGATGCCGGGGGAACGTTGGGCGCTTTCGTCGGCGTCAGTGCCGGTTCATGGGGCCCGCACCTGGCGCAATTAGCTCGCGACGAGAGATCGTCCCCGAAATCGGCGACATGGCGTCCGGAGGGGACACCGTGTCGGACGAGCACCACCTGGAATAAGAATCGAAGCTCGTGCACTCCGAGTTGGACGTCATCGATGGGAGGTGGAGCGCAAACACAGATTGGTCACGCTCGGCGTCGGCCCCAGTCGCTGAGTTGGTGCCGCTCGTGTGTGATGACGTTGCGTGGAGGTAGAGGCCGGTCGCACACTTTGATTAGTTTGGGTGGGTGGGTCAGGCTTGCCCCAAATGCGACGAGTTCCGCTTCGTGAAGCGGAGCTTTAGGCTGATAGTACGCATATGTCGCGGTGTCTGCAGTTCTGTCTTACTCTATTCCATAAGATCCTCACGCTATTCCATAAGAAGGGTTTCTGGCGGCCGCCATTCTAGTCAAATCAGGGGTTTCCGGCCAGGAATTAAAATTAGGGGGTGTCTAAATTGTTAGGGGGGGGGGGGGGGGCATTGAGAATAGAGGAGTCGTTACGAATTAAGGGGGTGCCTTCAGAAAAACAAAGGGGGGGGGGGGGGCTTGTAGCCCCCCCTAGGGGCTGTGTAGGGATATCACTGCTAGTCATGATGCATTTTGCACGCGTACGTGCTTCACTCGATCGCTTGTGTTCGTGGCTAGTTTGCGCCGCGGGACTGACGTGACCCCACAACTTTATCGCAAAAGCGTAAAAAAGAAAAAAAAAGAGAAGTGCTGTTTTGTGTAAACCGAATAACATCGCAGCGAAATTCGATATAAATTTACTATCGCTCTACATTTTAGTGAAGAACCCGAGATTCAGGTATTGACAGACGACGACAAGGAAGAGAAGGAGAAAGTCTCAAACACAGCTAAACCTTTATTAAGGACAGAAAGAAGGAAGGAAAGGGAACCCTTCTTCACTCCACCTCTCTCCACAAAAGACACGACACCGGACCTCTAATGATCGGGTCAAACCAACAAAACAACTGACGGCACCAAAATTAAAACATCACTCAAAAAAAAAAAAAAAAAAAAAAAACGCGGGGAAGTTTTACACTTACATGAAGATGACGCCAGGCATGGTTCAACACCTTCTAGATAAGAAATCCCAAGTGCTCAATTTTCCTACGCCACTAAGAGAGACCACCGTAGAACGCGGATTGGACACGAATTGGACGTCATCGTTCGGCTGGGACTCGGCTTCTCATTGATTGGACACGACTTCCGGCCGAACAACGACGTCACATTCGTATCCAATCAGCGCCCTACGGTCGCCCCTGACTGACGCAGGAAAATTCAGCACTTACCGCCGAATTCAGAAACCTCACTCCAACTACACTCAAACTGAAGGGCCCCTCCACTTCTTCGAGGAAGGCGCGAGGGCCGGCGCTGGCCAATCGCGACGGCGCATCCGCCGTCGCGATTGGCCAGCGCCGGCCCTCGCGCCTTCCTCGAAGAAGTGGCCGCCGTCGCGGCCACTTCTCACTCACTCCAACCTCACTCCAACTACACTCAAACTGAAGGGCCCCTCCACTTCTTCGAGGAAGGCGCGAGGGCCGGCGCTGGCCAATCGCGACGGCGCATCCGCCGTCGCGATTGGCCAGCGCCGGCCCTCGCGCCTTCCTCGAAGAAGTGGCCGCCGTCGCGGCCACTTCTCACTCACTCCAACCTCACTCCAACTACACTCAAACTGAAGGGCCCCTCCACTTCTTCGAGGAAGGCGCGAGGGCCGGCGCTGGCCAATCGCGACGGCGCATCCGCCGTCGCGATTGGCCAGCGCCGGCCCTCGCGCCTTCCTCGAAGAAGTGGCCGCCGTCGCGGCCACTTCTCACTCACTCCAACCTCACTCCAACTACACTCAAACTGAAGGGCCCCTCCACTTCTTCGAGGAAGGCGCGAGGGCCGGCGCTGGCCAATCGCGACGGCGCATCCGCCGTCGCGATTGGCCAGCGCCGGCCCTCGCGCCTTCCTCGAAGAAGTGGCCGCCGTCGCGATTGGCCAGCGCCGGCCCTCGCGCCTTCCTCGAAGAAGTGGAGGGGCCCTTCAGTTTGAGTGTAGTTGGAGTGAGGTTTCTGGAATTCAGCGGTAAGGCTCTCTTCTTATCTCTGAGGTGTAGCAGGATCCTATAGACGCTTTAAACACGCGCCAGATTGTGCCGCCATTGCTGACCTTCTCTTGTTTTACTGTGATGCCGAGCCACTGAAGCGGGCGTTGACGAGACTCCACAGTGGCCTATGCTGTGGAGAAGGAAACAGTAGCACCTAAAGTGGCACTAACCTAGTCCTGCTGTGGTAATCATGAAGGGAAGTAAACATTATAAGAGGAAACAAAAACTGAAGGTCGGTTATGGTGGCGCCCATGCACAGCTGCTGCAGAGCGTCTCTAGGGCAGCGAACTTTATTTATTTATTTATTTATTTATTTATTTATTTATCGGAAGGTTCGAATTCTGGCCGATGGTCCCGCAATCTGGCGGGGGTCACATTGGAGAAGGTGCCGTAGATTTTGGTTGCACGCCAATAGATCCCCAGGTTATGCAACTTAATCCTCAGTCCTCCGCTGGGGCGTGCCAGATACCATTCGTTGATTTGGCACGTAAAACACTCAAAGTTGACT